CACATATACCGGAATCTCGTTATACCGGACGCTAAGAGCTGGACCAAACCGTCCGGTATAAACAGGTTTGACTGTATTCACATATGAATATCCGTATCTGTGTGAAAGAGTACTTTCATCTTTGGCGCTTTCATCAATGAAAATGAATTGTTCGGGCATGTAACCAGTGCGATTTAAATGCGCTACGTAACAACTCATTTTTTCCGCTACTGCTTTAGTTATCTGTATGATAAAATACAAGACTTTAACACCTATGATCAAAATTGTTAGTACTTTTTTCGCGTAATTTTAACGAACGCCACAGATTCGGAACGGATACTCTTTTGCCTGTTCTTGCCTCCATTTCTGCAACCAATTCGTTCATAGAGGATGTGTGTAAAAGCTCTACACAAAAAATTTCGACAGCAAAAACAAACCAACCCAGACTTTCATATCAATACTTCTGAACAGTTTCTTACGACCGGAAACACCTCTAAATGGGTTGTCCACACAGTTCCATTTCCTAAAGTTCCTCAATACTCTGCCGAATAACTCACGTATAGAAGTTCACTAATACGTCGTTTGTTATAACAATCCAGACCATTCTCCATTTCAACTCTTCACTAAATGGACGACCCATACCTATATGACAGCATTTATGGGATAGCAATACTTGTAATCGCCAATAATCGTGTAATCGTTCTGTAATCGTTTTGTAATCGCCTTGTAATCTCGTACTTTCCCTTACGTAGGAAGCTATAGCTTGGCAGTCAGGTTTCCGTAAGCCAGATAACGGTTGTGCTTTCTTAGCTAGAAGAGTTGAGTTTGATTGCACCTCTATAATCACGAATAATCTTCTAAAACATAGTATCTTCGTTTTTTTTTTTAGTCCGCGAACAGGGTGTTAAAAACCGCAATAATAAGTAACTATCCGATGATAGGCTAGCAACAATATGAAACTCGATGTGATTATTAAGAAATTGCGAATGCAAATAAACTCGGAAATGAATTTTCATTTGAATATATTTATTGTAAGAAATTTATACGGTCTACATGCTGCTTATAACTTACGATCAATTTCACTTGAGATAACGGATGAATCATATTGTCACAAGGTAATATTCAATTATGCATCGTGTTTATTGAATTGTTATTGACTTAACCTTTTTACTAGATATGTAGTATACGTATAGTACAACTGCTCAAATAGGTAACTACAAATTACCCGGAGATATTAACTTCTGATAATATTCGGATAATTGATATCATGTAAAGTATGGCAGCTATACCGACTTTGATAATATTAATACAATCAGAATGGAATAGTATATACGGCCCAACATTAAGAATTACTCAACAGAGCACATGCCAAAAACTGTTGTCCTCAAAGAATTTTTGATGGAACGTCAGAATTATTTATTTCCGAGGTAAGCCATCTTTGGTATTGCAATGGAGTAAAGAGATTTTCAATCTGACACTGTGTTTATTTTATTTCATAATTCAGAAATCAGTCCAGGTGCCAGAATGCTTTATTTACGGAGTTACATAAGACCCATGCTAACAAGGGTAGTCTTTTGTCGACATAATTTGCATGACAAGCGGAATAGATATCTCACTTAAATGATGCATTCTTGGTTGATAAATTTGTTGTACCCCAGTTGGAGACCTGTCTCAGTTCTGGACTGAGTGACTGGGTTCCGAACTGAGACAGGTCCCCAACTCAGACACAACAAATCCATATGAACAAAATTCAATTACTCGAGGCGGTTTACCTTTTATTGCACTGAAATCTTTCAACATGCACAAATTCACTCAGAAACAGACATATATGCTTTGGTATTATCGCGGATTTTATCGCCACTACCGGTGAATGACCATTTAGAGATAGGCGGTTCAATAGTGTGCGCTATTATGGGTGCCAGAGGAATATAGAAAACTTGCAACAACATGTGGGATACCATGATGTAAGACCCTTATCGTGTCTCGAGGAGGATAGTGATCAAGCTATAAAAATTTTTTTTTAATTGAAAACATGCTTCTTGTTTTACTTGTCTCTATTTCACCTTTCTTATTTTTTTTTTTTCATTCAACTTTTCTAAAATTAGTTGCGATATAAAAAAAGGCAAAATAACAGTTACAAATAAGTCCAACATGAACATAACACAGAGTTGAAATTGGTTTGCTCTGGTCAGTTTTAGGCTTGGAGATTGCACGACAGTTGTTAATAATAATTAAGTTAATCAAGAAAATGACCAATTATTATTATTGAACAAGATTAGAATAGTTCCAAAATTGCGGAAGTAAAAGTATACATTAACGTTTGGTTGAACTCTAAGGCACTTGCTGATATTGATAAGTCAACTTTTTCATTTTCTCATGAGATTGAATATCACGTTCATATTCTTGCAGAAAGCCAATGCACCATTTGGATAGTGTATACATATTGGGCTGTTATGGAGTCTGCTTACATAATGGCTCATAATATGCAAAATGTGCAGAATATGCGTGCAGACGAGTAGAATGTGCTTACACAATGAATAATGAATGCGGTTGTTTCATAGTCAACAACGTTTCTTTTTTAGTTAACGATACAGTACTACATATTGATACAAACAAAGCAATCTGCATAGTTGATACTAATCATACATGCCTTTTTAAAAAATAACAGTTCTATGAAACATCTTACTGATTGATAAACATGCATGCAGCGTATTCAGCTTTGTGCGTTATCTGTCTATGAATCTGCAAAAACCTGTGTAAAATAATTATTCAGAATGCCACAATGTATTATAACTCACCCTGATGGTCTTATCTAATAAATCAACAAGTAAACATATTAAAGATAAACCAGAGACAGTAACAGATACAAGATTTGAAACCTAATTATTTAATTTTGCCAAAATAACGTGCAAAAATTGACGTGTAAGAGAAGTATAGTAGACTCTGTCTGCCAACAAAGAAAAATAATCAAGTCCACCGTCGCAACTCTATGTTGATTTGTTAAAAAAAACCCGCCCCTATTAAATTTTTTCATAAAAAGACTTTTCGTAAACTCAATGCGTATAAAGTATAACTTTTACGTCAATTAATGCTGGGTATCTTGATACCAAATAATCATTTATTATCTTTATTACCTTACTCAATTACGAGGCAATTGCTGAGCAACAAACTGTATAGTAATTATTCTAATATTATTAATATGTAGTATGTTTGATATATAACGCTTTTAAAAACCTACCATTTTTGCAGTCAACAAATATTTTACAGTTTTTTCTTTTTTTTTGTTTGGGCTAGTTTTAAATTGTTCTTTATTATATAATTACAGGTAAACAATTACTTAAATAACTAAAAGCATATTAACGTAATAGACACCCTCGCTGAATCTAAATTAGTTATTCAAGACTGGACTTTCATTTACTATTGTCGGAACAAATGGATTTGGGTTATCGGCAGTGGGAAATCTAAAATAAACGTGAATTATTAGCGCAATAGTTATTTATAAAATACACGTCTATATATACACACATACGTAATGTTAAATAATTACCCTATTGATTCCATGATCGCCTTTGTGCCAGGTCCAACAATTGCATCAGGAGCCGCTCCACTATCCTTATCCATTTGTTGGTACGTCTTTCCTGGCGTATCTACGTATGTCATCAACCAGTCTTGCGAACGAGCATATGTGGCATCGTCTACATGCGATCCAGTAGAACCTATAGAATACGGCTTGAGACTTGTCTCCAGTAATACAGCATCTTTTATATTCGTCTTTCCTCTCGGCAAAAATCCGATTGCTTTTGGGGTAACATAGTCAGTCGTAGTCGTAAGACTAATATCAGTTGCAACCTTTTTAATGCTTGCAACTAGTGCCGCATCGCTAGTAATTGTCTGTCCGTCAATTGCTTTTGAGAGTGCAGCTGTATAGTCCGTTAGTTTTTTACCATCCGCGGTTTTAATCACAAACTGATCAAAATTAGTTTCGCGTATGCGCACTTGCGATCCATTAGGAATGACGAATGGAATTACCACGTCGCTGGTAGGCAAAAGAGCCGGAGACCAAGATGACAAGAAACCCAATCCGTGAAGAAATTCGTGCGCTATAACTGAAACAAAGTCGATTTGATCTGGTTGGATGTTTTTATCGCCCGGAAAAAAAAAGTGCGGAGCTAATTTGCTGTTGAAAGAGGCTATTATGTCGTGTGTATCAAAAGGTACTGGGCCTGTCGGGTTAGCTAGCTTTGTTAATGCTTGGGGATAAAGTCGAATTGCACCATCTTCACCCGTCATTGAGAAAAAGCGTGACGGGCCTGCTGCTCCAACTGATAAATTTATGGTAGAAAAATATTAAAAATAATCAGATTTTGATTTATCAAAATTGTACAGTTTTTAACTCTTAAACTTACTAATAGTGCCTGTACTATCGCACCCTCCTAAAGTCTTGCACAAATCCGCAAATTCTGCAGCAACCGTAATTTTTTGTGGAAATTTAAATATTTTGCTCAGTAACGCTCCCGCAGTGACAAAAGAGTTTTGTGCTTTTTGGCAGGTTTGGGCACTCATTGTTGGGTCGCAAACAAAAGACAACTCGAATGCATTGCTATCGGTTGCATTAGTGTTGTTATGATTCCAATTCCTGAATTGCGATCCGTAGAATAATTTGGAATAGGCATCAGATTCAGAACTGCATTCTTTTAAATTGGAAGGTTCAAATGGATTTTTTGGATCAAAGCACTCGTAGGACTCCGAGGGAGAGGTCAGAAAGACAATAACTAAAAGTACAACAAGATAGAGACAAGAACGGATAGAGGCAATCATGGCTGAAATTTTCGTGAACGGCCAAACTCAGTAAGCGCAAAGATAAAAACTGGGATTGATTTTTACTGCGTACGTTGTTTGCTTTTAGTTATTTTGAATCCCTCAAAATGTTGTCTCCTTGGGACATTCCTTTAAATAAATTTTTGATTATGCTATTTGGTGCTACGCTTCACTTAGTTATAATATACCTAAACGCGCAGAAATATTTGTCATGTAAATTGTCGATCGCTAAGAATATATTGAATGCTCAAAACTTGCAGAAAAGGTAGACACAAAACAGTTAATTACATATTTTGCTGTACTATAAAATTTTGATTATCTCCTGCAGCATCAGGCGTATAAATTATTTCAAACAACGAATAGCAAATCGGCGAGCAAATCATGGTATCCAACGATCATACAAAAATTTTTTATTGTTGGTACGTTTATAGTTGTGATTTACAGCTAGACAAGCCCGGCCCGGATATGTAGGGTCTTCAAAATAGGGCAACTTTTTTGAATAGGGGTTTATTTATTACACAGATCCGGATTGGGGAGACCTAGCTAAAAATAGAACTTACTCCAAAAAGTCTATTTATGGACATCAAATTGTGTTGCCTTCTTCTGTGTACAAATTTACATTGCAACCCCCCCAAGAATTCTGCGGGTTGGGAATGAGAAACGATTCAGACTATGACGCTAAATGGGATCCATTTCCAGTTACCGATTTTTCTTTTCGACCACGACTATGATATCAATCTCTTTTTTCATAAAAGCTCTGTACTCGCTTGGGATTTGTTTGTTTTAAGAAACGTCTTTTTAGAACAACTACGTATGGAAAGGGCAATTTATTAGAAATACCCTGAAACAAAACTGTCGTGTTTGAGTATTTGTATGTTCCATCAACGGGATGATAATACTAATATGTCAATGCTCTCTCTTTTTAAGAAAAGTGGCGAGATTATCTGACCAGTCAAACATACGCAATTAATAAAACATGCATAAATTAGCATTGTGTTTCTTAAAATAGAGAGAATGTCAACATCGTAAGGAGTATGAAGGTTATCATCATATCAAGGAAGCGTAGATATCACAATGTATGCTCCTCCTGCTTATGCCTTTGTTCTTATGCTTTTACTTGTTGTATGATGCAGATAACATTTTGTGTGTCAGTAGATCGGCAAATCGTTGGTCATGATTTCCAGCGCATGCATACATAGTAATAGTTATTATACAAACGGTTCAGTATTAATCTTTCAAGGTTTATATCTCATTTCTGCTATACGTTTATTTTCGTCCATATAATAATTATTATTGTCTGAGACTAAAACTAGGCAAGTTACAGTAATATCGATATACTTGCGAGATCCTTTGCAGCATGTTAATCTTATAAACACAAACCTATGACCTCCTCCATTTTAAATGATTACACGCGTGTGAAATAATTGGACTTGACAAGCGGTGTTAAGTGGTTTACATTCGCATAACAAAAAATACCTCAAGAGTCACAGGAAGAAGCTCGTAAATATTTGATAACTTTACTAATTCTTTTGATGACTATACTATGTCGGTCGATGCAGATCCTGATTCGTATTCTAAAATTAGTTTATAACCTGGTATGACAAAAGCGTATTTAAGTAAACGCCAGAATTGGTATTACCGACAGAAGTAAACTCTGTCGGTTGCCAAACTATTCTTTGAGTTGTGTTCGAAACCAAAAACTGCAAACATTACTTTCACATTCATCTTCACAAAATATCAATGCAGTGCAGTGGAAATATAGATAGGTGGTTTTTCGAAATTTGATTAGCCGTAAAGCGGCGCAGTCTAGGCGTAATGCAATTTGTGGCTGACTTTCCAATTGCCTCTTTTGGGAAGATCATATACCACCATTTTTACTATATTTGTTATGAATAATGGTATGACCTTGGCAGCAGTCTGCGTGAAAATCAATGAGTTGCAGCAGCAAGTTTGTGATGAGGAGAAAAATATATCTTGGACAAGCAAATACTACACTGAGCCGTGTACCATCCTGAGATGGATTCCCTTTCCATTGATATTTTGCAATTCTTCAGGGGAAAAAAATATGGAGTACTTGACACAAAAAATCTACGGGCTAGTTTGCTGACATTATGCGGCATGCATTGTTGCTCTTATAAAAAAATGATTAAATCCCAGAATTATTTGCTAAGTCAATTTCACATGCATTCGATGAAATTGTATTAATGTTTTGGTTACTGGACAACTCTCTCACTGCGAAAAAAAAAATAGTGACATTGCGAATACACTTAGAGTAAATCTCAGATTTACTCAAGCATAACCACCAGCATTTCAGCGAGGAATAATAGACTCTAAGTGACAATCTTCTTGCCGAATATGTGATAACCATTTTTCCAAAATTCAAGGTCAAGTATCGAGTGGAATAGCGAATTTTGAATGGTGAATGGTAAACGGTAAATGGGGAATGGTGAATGGTTAATGGTGAATGGTGAATGGTGAGTAGTAGTGAATAGTGAATAATTAACCGTCTATTTGATTTTTTACCTTTTATTCGCACAATGAAGTCAAACAAATATTAGATGCTTGGTGATATTAAAATGCAGTAGCGTCCAAAAGTATCCTACAGTCTCTAACTTAGGATAGGAATGAATGAACGGTTTGAAATTTCCCTGCATATAGTAATAATGTACCATTACCTGTAAGATTTCAACTCGATCGGATGTCTCCGGAAAATTTTTCAAACAGTAGATACTTTATCTCTAGAGTTCGGTCATAAACTTCAAAAGTTCATATCTCGACACTTTGTTCTTTGCACCATCAGAATGCGTAATCGTTACTACAGATGCAAATAATCGTGCGACATAATGATAACATGCATCTTTATTACCAAGTACAATAAGCGATTTTCTTTCTAATTCGACCACTCACCCAAAGGACACGTAGGGACGGGTCTGACGAATAAAACAAAAAAAGTGCAAATCGACTAGAAACATGTAAAAATACAGTGTGGTAAGAAAAAAATTGACCTCCTCTTTTTTTACCATGGCTAGATAGAAATTCAATATTAACAAGTAATAGCTTGTTTGAAAGCTATACAAAGCAAGGCTTTTACTAGTATAAAAAACATAATTTGTTAACTAATTCTCTCACTTTTATTGTATATTACTTGCTGACAACAATAATGCATTAACAAAATAGATTTGTCAATAATTTATCCGGAATATTTACCCATCCCTCTGTCATATATTGCGAAATATTATTTGGCAACGTTGTTTAAACAATTCCCACAAATTTTCAATAGGGTTAAGGTCTGAACTATTAAAAAGCCAATACCTAACCTCAAGGACCTTTTTTTTTAAAAAAAAAAACAAAAACTCCTTGGCTACTCAACTTGCATAGGGCCTTTACCCTGTTGAAATTTCCACCCACTTTAATATTCTCCTGATTTTGGAGAATTCAATGTAAAACGGTGTAAACAAGTTTTATTTAATTAATATTAAAGATTAATTTTTTTTAACACACTGTATTGTGTATGTTAGGAGCGGTAGGATACTTTTAGACGTTACTGGAATTTCTGGCCGGATACTATTAAATCGGTAATTTCTAGCAATAAATTGCTTGACGTATATACAATGTGTAACAAAAAAAAAAGAGAATTATTTAAATCTTTTTGGTTTTAACATAAGCAATCTAATTAAAGTGTATAATGTATCATTTTAAAGCTTAAAAGCAGCATATTGTTATTAATATAAAATTAATATAACATACCATTACCATTTTGCAATAATAAGCTCACAATGTCTGTTGACCGGCTCTACAAAACTAATTATAACAATCTGCAAAATAGCCATTTATTTGTCAAACCATAAATGCTCAATTTACTTGGAATCAACTTCTTGAATTTTTCCCCAGTAAAGTTTTAGAGGTTTCAGTTATATTAATATGCTCTTAGCAATAGCATGCGGAGATTTCAGAAATTCTCAGTGAAATTGAGGTTCAGTTATGGTTTGTTTAGGGTTAGGGTAACAGTCAGGTTTAGGTTTGTTTTTTTTTTTTTTTAATTTTTATTTTGTGATTGATACTACTAATAGCCATGATTATCTAATATTGTATTAAATTATAAACACTTAGATTTTTATCAGAAAGTTAGTTTAAGAGTCTTTGTGTGCTTGTTGCTTTCAATAGTGTAATTGATCTAAAGTTGTGTTTTTTTCACTAGGTGTAGAGGTTAGAGCTGAATTGTCTATGGAGTTGAAAAGCAATCAAAGACTTGAAAACATATGAAATAATAGTAACAAAGATCAGCTTTTATTTCCATTTTACATAATGCAATTAGAATCAAAATTGAGTGAGTTCCAAACATATGAATTACAAGATATACTTATTTTATCTTTTTTTTGTTACACGCTGTATTTTCTTCATTAGCCTGCCTCCGCAGAAATGGCTCTATTGTGTTTTTATGAGAAGGGTTGGTATAATAAATAATAATGTTACTAGGTTTTTACAGAGCACTTACTGGTATACTAATACTAAGATTAAATTAACTATGTAATTTCGACAATAATAATAATGTAATCATTTCTTGATCTCAATGCATAGCTGAAATTTAAAAATGGGGAAGCTCCGCTGACAAAGTATTGAAAATCAATTAGTAAAACATATGAAAAATCCTTTATACCGTTTTTGAAGCGAATTGATTGTATTTTGAAAAAAAAAAGTAATAATATATTCAGTCCGTTTTAAGCCTGAAGTTCGATAAAGTGATGGTATTGATGTTACACATATGTTGTTCATATAACATAGATACTGCCACTTTATTGCACCACTCTTTCATTACAGTAACTATTTTAAATTTACTTTTTTCCCCCAAAAAGTACAATCAATTAGCCTCAAACGGCATAAAAATTATTGTAACTTACATAGTAAGTATGGGTGACAGAGATGTTCAAAAAAATTTTTTTTTCAAAAATTACCAATACTTTGGTGCAGTTTATCGGCGCCAAAGACACTTGAACGTATTGATAAAAATGCAACAGTAGCTGAAATATCCACTACTACAGATACCAACATACAAGTATCCGCACTTATTTTATACCTTGAATTTATGACAATAGTTTATTAAAGTACACGCGACATTTAAATTAAACATGTTCGAGTCGTCAAAAATGACAAGATTATGTGTACTTGTTTTCTACTAGAATTTGTATACTAAATTAGTCTTGGAGAGGAATAAAAAGTTTTCTAATTCAACAACATTTGCAATCAATATCAAAAAACAGTAAACGCTTTCCCAAAAAGAAGATAATGGCAGATATCATCCCGGCTCCTTGAGGAGCAAGTCCATACCAATTGTTAGTGATCTTCGAGAGAATGATATGCGATCCAATTATATGGAAAGTTGCCATTATAAATGTCGTTACCATAAGAATCATACTACAAAATCTATCTATTGGTTCGGAATTTTTTGCATTTGCAGAACAAACCGCTGACTTACCGTATGCCTTACGTATAGTAATAATTATTATAGGTGACAAACCGAAACCCACTGCGTATATTACCCAAACCCAATGTAATGTCTCCATTATGCGATGTAGTTCATAGCTTATCATGGTCAAGCCTGCCCAACCAGTAATCGATAATATGACGGTTACAATAGCACCCAAGTATCTGTAAAGCCTATCCCTCGACTCGTTAAATTTCGGCTCATGACTTTCCGAACTCGAACTAGCTAGTTTTGAGTAACCGCCTGCTTCTGCTGCTGCTTGCCAGCCTCTCGCGCCATCGTTAAACATCTTGAAACTCCATGGAGTAAGCTGTCCTAGTGCAATGAGCACTATGGGCCAGTCGGCGTAACAACGAATACACGTATAGGTGGCCGGACCCAACGTCATAACAGCTGCGAGAAAGGCCATGAATGAATTCTGTGATTTATAAGGCTTACAGCATCGCCAGAATGTGAACAGAGAAATATCTGCGTATGTTAACGCTATTGCGAGAATTGACAACGACCAACAGATCAGTCCAAAAAGTCCGTATGGTAAACTATAGCAAGTTAACTGTTGTGCTAGCTTGTGTACTAAGTAGAAAGGTTGAGAGACGTTTGTCGATTATAAGTATCGAGTTTGTATAATTGGTTCTAGAAATGAAAAAAACTGGCCAGAACCTAACCTTCAGCATTTGTCCCGTAATCCATTTTTTTTTTGTTCAAACAAGTAATCGAGAAAAATGACTTTTTGATTATGGAGTATTTATTCCGGAAATACTAATAGTAATAGTAGTAATTGCGCCACTTTGCTATTTTTCTACAACATTGCACAAACACATAAAGCAGAAGATATAGATCAAAAGCTCGATACAAGTGGAGAGGCACAAATTGGTTTCATTTTACTTATTAAGAACAGGCTGCCATTAATAGTAATTCGCGCAACATAAACAAGCATGAAAATCAATGCAGTGTTTTCCCAGATGAGTTATTATTGATTTTTTTTGGAAGCAGCCTGCCTAATTGAAGCCAAAGTTTTTTTGCTATGGTCCAATAATAACATGCGTTTGTTTTTGGAATTACGAAAACCTAAAAGAAGAAATTGATATGAATCATACATTGACAACACTGTACTGTTTGTAAGATGAGCATGGTTGAATTGAACGCTAACGTCTTTTGTCTAAAGGATATACAGTCAACTTTGTCTATGCCGGCCTTTTTTATACCGGTTTTTCGCCTTACACCGGTCCAATTTCGCTGCGCCATAAGATTATATATTAATCTAACCCCTTATAACGGCTGAATCATATACCGGTCTCTCGTTTTAACGCCAAACCACTCGCGCCGGTGCAAACTTTTACGGGGGTTCATGCACGTACGTATATGCAACAGCATCGTACATCAGTCACCCAAATATGGTTAAATAAAGAGAATTGCTTACGGAACAATCTACACGTGTCGCTAATTATGAGATCGGCTACTTTGTGTAAACTAATACAATAAGCTTTCGAGCATCAGACAGACCTTTGCAGTTTCAACGAGCTATTATTATACTAGCTCTTGAGATTATAAAACTGTCTGAGGACTATTCAGAGTCTCGGTTCCATTTTGGTCTGCTATCTTGATAAGCAGTGTAAGCTTTTGTCCAATCTACACTCACCGGCAAAAAGTATCGACAAAAATCCGAATGGTACACAAATTTTGATAATCTTCGAACCGTGTTTTCAAACTATAGTCATCCCTCGTTTATAACCCACTTTGGGACGGAGACTTTCTGGGATATCTGAAGTGGGATATAACTGAGTATAGGCATTTTTAGTTTAGTAGTAGAAGAAATTTTATTGGTTAATATACTCTGTTATAACGTTTGGCGCTTTAACTTTTCTAACGACTCATCTAAACGACGAATTACGTGTATACCACACATATATCTCATATCGTTTTCAGTCGTAAATTTCCTTTGTTCTAAAATTTTTTGAAATTGGCTCCGTTTAAGTCTTCTCCTATTTGCACTTGTGTCTGCTGCGACACACCTTCAGCCACCAGAAGTTCTTCAAAAATCTCCTCTTCTGTAAGCACATTGCGCTTATTAAACCATTGTCATATAAACATGCCACTTTTCCATCAGGTCATATAAACACGCCACATATAACACTAATCTACTAACCAAAAAGAGGTAGACTGACTATATATAGAAATAGCGTGATATTTATGTAACACAGTTGACATATACAAGGTAAATTTACCGAGGGGATATAACTGAAGTATGATCATTATATATTTCTATATATATGATATGGGAAATTGGGCTCTGTGAAAATTTAGGGGTTATATCGATGATCAGGATACAAGTGAGGTAAATTTATACTGAGATATAATAGAGGAAATCGGTCCAGCCCCAAAGCTGGGATATATCCGACAATAGGGGTTATAAACGAGGGATGACTTTAGCTACACAGTCAGACTCGATAAGTCGGCCCCTCGATAAGTCGGCCAACGGCTTCTTCGATCAGATTCTATTCTCTAACCCATTGGTTAGTTTCAGCTTCAGCCGGATTTCAGCATCAGCCGCAATCCTTATACATTGGCTACACAAATACTTATAATTGGCAATGTTATAACAAAGACACTATATCATACAACCAAAGAGCTAAACATCATACAATTAAAGTCATACGATTAAAGCAGTAAACATATCGTTAGAATCATACGATAGACATGAACTAGACATGTCATTAGATTATACGATTAAAGCAGTAATTATATTAGTATTAGTGTATTAATAAACGGTTTCTCGATAAGTCGGCCATTTGAGGCGGGATACTGTTGGGCCGACTTATCGAGACTGACTGTGTACCTTATCAAACTGACTGAATTTTTTTTAGATCTTCTGAACTTTAAAGAATATACCATTATCGCTCTTTTCAAAATTCTGCAGTCACACAACATTTGGTCACAACTTTTTGCGAAAACAGCGTGAAAACTTCTGCGAGCCAGTGATTACTAAACTTTTCTGAAGAGTAGAAGACGCCTACTTAATACAACTTTACCTCTTTATTTAGCGCAAGGCAAGAAAAGAAAAGCTTGTTGGGTTGTTACACCAGCGATTATAACCGATTATGAGGTGAAATTGTTTTCGTTTTCATTTTCGTTTTCAATTTTTTTTTGATGATACTATTTTGAAAAGTACTATAAATAAAGAACTTACAGATTTTGAACGGAGAAAATAACTGGGCAATGAGATTGTGGTAAAAATGCCGTGACATTGCTGATGCCCTTGGGCATTCGCAATCGCATTTCGTGATAAACAACAGGTAACGGTTCAACCTAGAAGTGGTAGACCAAGATCAATACTGCAATATCTGACGGGAACATCCGGTATTTAGCTCAACAAATGAACAAACAATTACGTTTCTGTCAGTCAAAAAACAATTCGAAGTTATCTGTATGAAGCTGGTTTTCACAGTCGTGTTGGGAAGAGAACCCCCTTTATTTCTGAACAGAATCGCAAAAAACGCTTTCAGTGGTGTAAAAAACGAAGAATATGGGTTAACGAATGAAAAACCGTCATCTGGAGTGATGAATCCCGTTTTCCCTTGTATCAAAATGAGCACACATAAGGGTTTGGCGTCAGCCAAAAGAAGCGTATGCTGTCGATTGCTTGATTCCAACTTTATTACTTTTTTACGGTTGTATGCTAACTGCCATGTCTTGTTTATCAACTATGCTTTACGTCATCTTCCCCACCAACAACAGCTATATATGTCAGCATGAATTTTTGCTATCCCCAGGTATACAGAAACACTCCTCTCTACTCGCTCCCGTGCAATCAGTCGTGGATATGCCTTGCATACTAAATTCGCCTGCTACCGTTAAAATTTGTAAATACATGGAACTCGTCATATAAAAATATTGACATATCATGAAATAAAGGCAATCGTCTGGTTATAAAGTAATATTGGGTAAATGTGGCAATAAAAAAGAAGTAAACACTGAGAATAAATCAAATTCGAGAGCTTATGCAAAGTATTATGTGAGTGGACGCAAGGATAGGCGAAAGAGAAGAGAAAAAAAGGCTTTATGCAGACCGTTCGACCATTGGAGGTAAATTATGTTTTAGTATTAGAATTACTGATTACGTATACAGTGAGTGTTGTGCAAAAAAAAAAAAGATAATTGTTTAATAGATATGTATAATATGTCATTTTGAAGCTTGAAGGCAGCAGATTTTATTACTATGAATTAATGATTGTTTCGAAAAAAAGTAATGATATATATTCAGTCCCGTTATGCTGCAGTTCGATAAATGATGTTACACATATGTTGTTCATATGTGTAACATAGATACTAAACATTTCAAAAAGTAAATCAATTAGCTTCAAAACGGTATAAAATCATTGTAGCTTACATAGTAAGTATGGGCAACAGAGATGTTCGAAAAAAAGAATCTTTCAAAAATTACCAATACTTTGGTGTAGTTTATCGGCACTAGCCTGTGCCAAAGACACTTGAACGTATTGATAAAAATGCAACAGTAGCTGAAATATCCGCTACTACAGATACCAACATACACATATTATGCCTTGAATATATGACAATAGTTTATTAAAGTACACGCGACATTTAAATTAAACATGTTCGAATCGTCAAAAATGACAAGATTATTATTATGTGTACTTGTTTTCTGCTAGAATCTGTATACTAAATTAGTCGTGGAGAGGAATAAAAAGTTTACTAATTCAACCGCAACTGCAATCAATATCAAAAAACAGTAAACGCTTTCCCAAAAAAAAGATAACGGCAGATATCATCCCGGCTCCTTGAGGAGCAAGTCCATTCCAATTGTTAGTGATCTTTGAGAGAATGATATGCGATCCAATTATATGGAAAGTTGCCATTATAAATGTCGTTACCATAAGAATCATACTACAAAATCTATTTGTTCGTTCGAAATTTTTTGCATTTACAAAACAAACCGCCGACTTGTCGTGTGACTGGCGTATAGTAATGATTATTATAGGTGATAAAACTAAACCCACTGCGTATATTACCCAAACCCAATGTAATGTCTCCATTACGCGATGTAGTTCATAGCTCATCATGGTCAAGCCTGCCCAACCAATAATCGATAATATGACGGTTACAATAGCACCCAAGTATATGTAAAACTTATCTCTCGACTCGTTAAATTTCGGCTCATGACTTTCCGAACTCGAACTGGCTAGTTGTGAGTAACCGCCTGCTTCTGCTGCTGCTTGCCAGCCTCTCGCGCCATCGTTAAACATCTTGAAACTCCATGGAGCAAGCTGTCCTAGTGCAATGAGCACTATGGGCCAGTCGGCGTAACAACGAATACACGTATAGGTGGTCGGACCCAACGTCAGAGCAGCCGCGAGAAAGGCCATGAATGAATTTTGTGATCTATAAGGCTCACAGCATCGCCAGAATGTGAACAGAGAAATATCTGCGTATGTTAACGCTATTGCGAGAATTGACAACGACCAACAGATCATTCCAAAAAGTCCGTATGGTAAACCATAGCAAGTCAACTGTTGTGCTAGCTTGTGTACTAAATAGAAAGGTTGAGAGACATTTGTCGATTATAAGTATCGAGTTCGTATAATTGGTTCAAGAAATAAAAAAACACACAAGTACTGGCCAGAACCTAACCTTCAGCGCCTGTCCCATAAACCATCTTTTTTTTGTTCAAACGAAGTAATCGAGAAAAAAAGACTTATTCTTCTCTTTTTGATTATGGAATATTTATTCCGAAATACTAATAACTGCGGTAATTGTGTCACTTTGCTATTTTTCTACAGGCATGCACAAACGCATAAAGCAGAAGATATAGATCAAAAAGCTCGATATAGATAGAGAGGCTAGCACAAAATCTTATTCATTGTCGAGTTTCATTTTACTTATTAAGAACAGGCTGCTCGAGTGTGACCATTAATAGTAGTTTGCGCAACATAAACAAGCATGAAAATCAATGCAGTGTTTTTCTAAATGAGTTATTATTAGAAATTACCAACAAATCAAATCAAAATGTTGAACAGTGATAATATAATCGATCGGAGTTTTTTTTGGAAGCAGCCTGTCTATTGAAGTCAAAGTTTTTTTGCTATGGTCCAATAATAACATGCGTTTGTTTTTGGAATTACGAGAAACTAAAAGAAGAAATTGATATGAATCATACATTGACAACGCTGTACTGTTTGTAATCATGGTTGAATTGAACGCTAACGTCTTTTGTCTAAAGGATATACGCAAACTTACGGAATACACGGGGGTTCATGCACGTATATGCAAAAAGTATCGTACATCAGTCACCCAAATATAGTTAATGTACACCTTTACGTTCAATCGTAGGTGTAAACAAATAAAGACGCAAAATTCCAAATATAGTTAAATAAAGAGAATTGCTTATGGAACAATTCACATGTGTCGCTAATTATGAGATCGGCTACTATATGTAAACCAATACAATAAGCTTCGAGTATCAAACAGACCTTTGTACTAGCTCTTAAACTGTCTGGAGACTAACGATGTTATTCAGAGTCTCGGTCTGCTATCTTGATAAGCAGTTGTCCAATCTACACTCACCGGCAAAAAGTATCGACAAATCCGAATGGTACACAAATTTTCGTCAAACTTGATAATCTATCTTCGAACCGTGTTTTCAAGCTAACTACTTTATCAAACTGACTGAATTTTTTTAGACCTTCTGAACTTTTATATCTTTGAAAAGAATATGCCATTAAATAAAGAACTTACAAATTTTGAACGGGAAGAATAATTGGGCAATGAGATTGTGGTAGAAATGCCTGTGAGATTGCTGATGCCCTTGGGCATTCACAATCGCAAGTTACTCGTGCTATAAACGCATTTCGTGATAAGCAACAGGTACGGTTCAACCTAGAAGTGGTAGATCAATGTCTGACCGGAACATCTAGCTCAAAAAATAGACAAATAACCGCTAATGAACTTGTTCAACAAATGAACGGACAATTAAACGTATCTGTCAGTCAAAAAACAATTCGAAGTTATCTGTTTTTCACAGTCGTGTTGGGAAGAAAAACCCCTTTATATTTATAAGCATGAAGGTGGAGGCATAATGGTGTGGAGGTGTTTCATCAATAATCGACCTGGATAATAGAAGGTAAATTTGCTATATAGAAATTCTGCAAAAAAATCTATTACTTTTTTGAGTCAACTGGAGCCATTTTTCAAGAAGACAATGCTCCAATTCATACCGCAAAAAACTGGCTAAATGGAAAGACGAAAATAGTTTTCGTGGCCCGCACAGAGTCCAGCAATCGAGCATGTTTGGGACAGATCAAGCCCCTACACAGTCAACCCTCTCACAATGTGAAAATGGAGGTTGTGACTATATAGATGTTTGTATTAATCTGTTGTTTTACTAATGTGTTTAGGTAAAAACTACCAAGAGAAAATGCCATTAGCCGAGGTTTTTGATATATCTATTATCGTAGCACGTGCATATTAAGCAGACTTCCACTGTGATTGGACGATCGTGAAATGTAACACAACAGAAAATAATTCGGAAACGGCAACTTAGCTACTAACGCTTTTTCTGCACTCTATAGTCTTTAGTGAACATTACATTACAAAGAACGTAAACCTTTAGAACACTCCTTTTTCTTTCAAGATACTGTCTCCAGCAACGATCATAAGGTACGACACTGTGATGTAGAGGATATGGAAAAGGTTATATGCGATTATGAACTGCACGATGCTACATTGTGTCAGACAGAAAACAATAACTATTCCAGAGGTGAAGAATCATTTAAATTTGGTTTGTAAGGCGTTGTGCAGAAATCCAAAAGACTAACGCATGTTCTCATTCCAAGCATGATATATGAATCTACAAGCACATCCAGAACGCTTAACCAACTTCAAGTTGTCGCTACGATAGTGTGTCGTTACTGCTTATATAAATCTGACCACGATCCCGAATATATAGATGTTCTTATTATCTGCTGCCATTTGAGAAGCTATCGGATGAAAATATAAAAAAGTCAAGGTAGGTCATACGTATTATGCAGCGAAATCGAATCTCAAATCTGCGTATGTAAGGGGCTTTGTATTCGAATGTTAACTGAGTAGGAGGATTAAACCGATGCTGACATTTGTATGCAGAATCACCTTTAGCAAACATTTTGACCAGCTATCTTTCTATAGATCTCATCTTTAACGTTATTAACGTTATTATACTTTTGTTGCCCTTACGACGTTTAATTATTGGTCACAACTAAATATTGTATTTCCTATTAATGGCTAGAGATCGTCATGAAGTATGGGGCCGTTTTTATATACTATACTATAAATAGCTATACGTTTTATTTCATCTGAAACAAGGCAAAGCAAATCAAAGCAGAAGTCTAAGCTTTTGCATAGTGATCAAACGTTCAATTTATTAACTGTTATTTGTGAATTTCTTCTCACGCTAGCTATAATTACCATTCACAATCGGAAGTAACAGATTAAATTATTTTCCCACTGTCGCAATGTTGTGACTAGCGTATTTATCGTTATTGTCAAACTTCACCGCGATGTTTAAATAAGATAAACGCTTAAGAACTCTACCCCGTTAAACGAAACCTAATACGACGCGGCTTTTTTTTTCTTTTTTCAAAATACAAATATAACAATTTATCTCAAAAATAAGACGACAAGAAATGTTATTATCGCTTATTCGATTAAATCAAATTTAAAAACATAATTACATAAAAGCACACATGAGAGATAGAAAGTTTAATACGTAATTATAACATATTTCTTTTTTGATCAGGGCCTTCTCAACAGCTTGATGCCCCGATCAAATTTGGAAATCGATGATAAAAATGGAAGTTATTTGGTGGCATCAAGGGGCATCCCTAAATTGGATTTTGCCAGACATCTCATAATCGATGTGATGTGACGAGAGCAGTACATGGGATAGAACATACATTATTTATTAACTTGAGTCAAGAAATTTTTTTTTTCATATTCATTGCAATGCCTAAGAAGCAAAAAAAAACTCGGATCCTTTATTATACAAACACCTATACCCACAACGTACGTGTATGCGGGTTTGATTGATACAAATGATGATAATAATGTTGGAGGGTGTCCAGAATGGCTTCAATAAATTGTTTAGTAAAATGTGCGACTGATCCTCGGCCAACACCAAACATTTGTTCTAGTTGGCGGTATCCCAGAGGATTTGTTAATCGTTGAATCACAATGCCAACTTGAATTTCAATGGGAGTTTGAGTTCGAAAGGGTGTGGACAAATAGTTAGGATGTTGCTGTAAGATACTAAGCAGTCGATTGAACGTAGATAGCAAAATGCGAAAATAAAATTTAAAACTATTATACTCGCTCTTGTCATTAAGATATGGAAATATGTCTGTCCAATAAGCTATTGTTTTTGGTCAAAGTAAACGAGGTGTACGATTAATCATTGACATCGAATCAAACAGAAATGCTAATTCTATATCGATTAATCTTGCATCAAATTCTCGTTTAGATTTTATTACTTCTGTTACTATGAAGGCAATAAGTCTTTTCCGGCTGATAGATAACATCATCATTAACAGCATAACAGTCTCATACGGAGGGCGTTATTTATGCGCGTATAGCTGTTGAGAGCTGACGCCCTAATTTGTACGACTTCCAAAGCTATTGAGAAGGCCCTCTGTGTAACGTTGTATTGGGTTGTACCTCAGTTGAGGACTTGTCTCAGTTCTGGACAGTTCTGGACAGTTCTGGACTGAGTGACTGGGTTTCAAACTGAGACAGGTCCCCAACTGAGGTACAACATACAGTGAGCAAACTTCCGACTTGTCATTGCTGCAAACTACCATCAACAAGACTACAATTTCCGCGCCTTGCACAAATTCTTCAAACAATTAATGATGTACCTTATGGAAAAAGAAAATATCTTTTTTACATCTAGTCTGAGTAGATCAACGCATACACTGAATATCGTTCTATAGTGGGTACAATGAGCCTTTCCAAAAATTTAAGAACTCTAACGCTTTATTCAGGAATGCTTGGAGCGTTCCTTGAAAACTTAGATAATCCGTCGAATACCAACCGTTGATATCTACAATTCTTTACAACCTGCAGTAAATCCCTATCGTCGCAGCTATTTTCTACTCTTGCCAACCAATTGTTACAAATAAATGATACATCAGAAATGTCTGTGTGGCCTACTACTTTCCCCATTTCACGGGATGATTCAGTAACATCATTTCAACAAAATGATGTGAACTTTGACTTTACACGCTTAGCAGCAGGTTTCCTTTGTTCCAGTGATGGCAATGATCTTACCATGTTGAGGGATTTAGCCATACCCGTGCACACATGTACTACACACATTTACCAGCCCACGATCAAT